ATTGTTTATAATGACTTTTGCTAAAATTTCAAAATCAAAAGTTATCAAAACAAATTCTATGGGACTGAGAAGTATTATTTTCTACTTTTTAGTCCATTTATAAAAGCGTTGTATATTAAAAAGTTTTTTTTATATTATTTATTTCAAATTGTTGTTGCTTTTCCCCAATAGTTTTTCATTAAAAACGGCCTCAAGCTCAATAAAAATTGTTGAATTTAATTGTTATAAGGCCATAAATAATAAAAACAAATAACTTAAGGACGAGCACACCTAAAAGTAAAACGTTCTAAAAATAGAATTATTAACGAAAACCAACAACCACATGATCAAGTGTGAATTGCAGCGGAATTGCTGCGCTTCATTGTAGTTGGCTCATATGAAAAAAGTGGAAAAAGCAACAACAGTTTATAAGACGAACTTAGCACAGTGCGTAGGCAACTGGCTGAGTCAGCTGGGGTCGTCGGTTCGAATCCCGCTGAAGAAGTCTGATGAGGGGATGTGGTGATTTCTGAAATAGCTATCACTTCTACCATTTTTTCAAATTGTTCTTGCTTTTCCACAGTAGTTTTTCATTAAACACGGCCTCAAGCTCAATAAAAATTGTTGAATTTAAAATGAAAAAATATTTACGTTTTTACCAACCCAAATTTTGTCTACCAGTTTTGGTAATAATGTATTAAAGTGACAACACTGATAGAAGTTACCATTCTTCGAAAATAATTCCAGTCGGTTTTCAGATTGTATAGGCTACATTGTTGGGGTGATTCAGTAAAATCTCTATTGAGTTTTCGTAGCACGATCTGCATGAAATTTTTTAATAGTAATAATAGTCCCAACGGTGTTTACCCTCCATTCCCGCCCATCCGCACGAGGGGCGCCGACTGGATGACGTACGGAACCAATATTTTCAATTTTTGCGCCGAGTCACGATAGACAGGAGTTTGTTAAGTATCGAGATCTAAAACGGTTCAGATACAGAAATAAATTCATCAGCTGATTTTATATCTTTAGGTTATTAAATCATTTATTGAGAGAGGGGAGTATCGCTTTCTTAATGCTGAAAAGCGGATCTGATATATCAAACGTGCGGGAATGAGAGTTAAAATCCTGACATAAGCAACGGAGTGGGTCGTGCAATTCAAAATTATTTTTACAAGCTTCCAGAAATAGGGGACATTAAAGCTAACATCAGCCAGAAGAGACGGACTTGAAATTGAGCCTGACAAGTTTAGGAAGGTTAATAAATTTCAATCGGCTCGCATAGGACGGAAGTTTATTTTGAGAATCCCAACGGAAATTTCTTAAAGCAAAGAGTAGGACTTGTTTTTTAATTGAATCTCTCTTGTCTGAGTAAATTTGATACCTTGGATTCCAAACCACCGAACCGTATTCCAGAACTAATGTTGTAAACAGGGTTTTGGTATATAAAAGTCACTACATCTTTTTACCATCGTTCCACAAATGCAAGTACACCTTTAGCCTTGTTGACTGTCACATTAATGTGAAGATTAACACTAAGTTACTTTACATTTTTCCAGATTTAGAGGCATACAGCACCAGTTAGCCATGCTGTTTAAGTCTACTTGTGGTACGTATCAACGATTTATAAAGTTTTACATACATCATCTGCGTAGATAAAAATTTCTGAAAATTTTATATCTGTAGCAATATCGTTTATAAAAAGCAAAAACAGAATCGGGCCTAGGGCTACCTTGCGGGATTTGTGTATCTGCTTCTTACTTGTATACCAGACCTGCTTTTGCAACACAGCGTGCCAAAGCTTTCAAAAGCTCTCAGTACAAATGAAAGCTTTAAATAAAGAGCTTATTGAAACTGATGATAATTTAAATGAGAGTTTAATAAAAAATTTAATTGAAGTAAATTTCCACTTAAATGAGTTTGGAGAAACGCAGCCTTATTCACAGGTATTTAAGTACAAGTTATTTCTAGAATGTTCTTAACGAGAGTAATACATCAATAATAAAGTGTGTGTATGTGTTAAGCTGGACCCTGCAGTAAAATTTAGAGACAGTCTGACAAAGCGCTTGTTCCGAACTACATATCTCAGAACTATCTCTGAACTAGTGCAAAGGGAGTGCAGAGCGGGACAGTTGAAACTTGCGGTGAAAATGTGCAAATGCTCACTACTCTTACAATACGAAAGTAGCTCAGCGAGAAGACCTCCGACTCAACCATCGTTGGTCGTGAGTTCAAATCGCGGTGGAGGCAGTTATGCGTTTTCAAATTTAATGAATTTAAATTGTTGGGTGCAGCTTTACAATATATTCTTTTTTTTTTAAATAAAATTTGTAACAAAACTAAATCTGTAAAAGAAAAAAAATGTCCAAAAATGGAATCGCAAAAACGTTTTCTTATAAAAAAAACTCTCCAAAATGGAACCGGTTAAAAACTGGTTGCAATGTAATGCACTGGGCGACAATTGCCACCGCCAATGACATCACCGTGTTAAACTGGACAGTTGAAAGCATTGCTTGGGTATTGAGCTAGAACTGGTACTGTCGGCAAAAGGTCTAGTTCTAGGCTAGTCAGATTTTCTGCAGGGGAACTCCATAGGCAAGCGTATACGTGCATATGCGAGATCCGTTGGCATGCGCTTACGGGCGTAAAAACTGGCAACTCCATAGTATGCGCTTACAAGCATTTGACAGTTGTCATTTCGACAAGTTGATGCAGCATACATACACATTTATTGTTTTGTGAATTTATTCAAAAATTAATACAATGCACGATGATTTGGATTTCATAATGCTGGTAATTGGCAGTGTTATTGCAATGTACCTGGTAGTATAGAAATAACTAAAAGAAGAAGCGTTTGGGTGCGTGAACTATATTTGGAACGTGAAGTCAGTGGGCTTTTGCAACAAAATTTTATTTATTAAAAAACCGAGATGCAGACCAAATTCGCATGGCTACTCGAATGCGCCCAGAAGTGTTTGACTGTTTATTTAACACGCTGAAGGAACAGTTGGAAAAAAAATCTCTACGGGCTTCTATACCAGCGGAGTGCAGATTATTCCTCACATTAATGTAAGTTTATTTTTCCAACTTATTTACTTACGAAATCAATAAAAATATATATGTACATTTATGTATGCAGACGTATACCAATCTTATTCCAGATATTTGGCACATGGAAGCATCAGACAATACCTATCACTAAGATTATGTTCAAACAGGCCAATTAGCTGAGGCAATTAAGCTTTGAATTCCGGTATTGAGTTTGGTGTTCACACACACGTCAGCTGCCCAATTAGCGATACGAAGTCAGCTGTTGGATTACCCACAGTGATGGAAAAGTTGTTACAATCGTACCTTTATTTAGTTTGAAAGTACATTCGGTACAAACACACAATTTTAGGTACATTTGGAACGTAGCCAAATAGCTGCTCAGGAAATCAGTTCTTATTTTTACTGACATTTCAATGCATTTTCTGGTGCGGACAACTGGTCTAATAGCTTCCCTCCTTTGTGAAGAATCATACAAATGATAANATGTTCTTAACGAGAGTAATACATCAATAATAAAGTGTGTGTATGTGTTAAGCTGGACCCTGCAGTAAAATTTAGAGACAGTCTGACAAAGCGCTTGTTCCGAACTACATATCTCAGAACTATCTCTGAACTAGTGAAAAAGGAATACAGAGCGGGACAGTTGAAACTTGCGGTGAAAATGTGCAAATGCTCACTACTCTTACAATACGAAAGTAGCTCAGCGAGAAGACCTCCGACTCAACCATCGTTGGTGGTGAGTTCAAATCGCGGTGGAGGCAGTTATGCGTTTTCAAATTTAATGAATTTAAATTGTTGGGTGCAGCTTTACAATATATTCTTTTTTTTTTTAAATAAAATTTGTAACAAAACTAAATCTGTAAAAGAAAAAAAATGTCCAAAAATGGAATCGCAAAAACGTGTTCTTATAAAAAAAACTCTCCAAAATGGAACCGGTTAAAAACTGGTTGCAATGTAATGCACTGGGCGACAATTGCCACCGCCAATGACATCACCGTGTTAAACTGGACAGTTGAAAGCATTGCTTGGGTATTGAGCTAGAACTGGTACTGTCGGCAAAAGGTCTAGTTCTAGGCTAGTCAGATTTTCTGCAGGGGAACTCCATAGGCAAGCGTATACGTGCATATGCGAGATCCGTTGGCATGCGCTTACGGGCGTAAAAACTGGCAACTCCATAGTATGCGCTTACAAGCATTTGACAGTTGTCATTTCGACAAGTTGATGCAGCATACATACACATTTATTGTTTTGTGAATTTATTCAAAAATTAATACAATGCACGATGATTTGGATTTCATAATGCTGGTAATTGGCAGTGTTATTGCAATGTACCTGGTAGTATAGAAATAACTAAAAGAAGAAGCGTTTGGGTGCGTGAACTATATTTGGAACGTGAAGTCAGTGGGCTTTTGCAACAAAATTTTATTTATTAAAAAACCGAGATGCAGACCAAATTCGCATGGCTACTCGAATGCGCCCAGAAGTGTTTGACTGTTTATTTAACACGCTGAAGGAACAGTTGGAAAAAAAATCTCTACGGGCTTCTATACCAGCGGAGTGCAGATTATTCCTCACATTAATGTAAGTTTATTTTTCCAACTTATTTACTTACGAAATCAATAAAAATATATATGTACATTTATGTATGCAGACGTATACCAATCTTATTCCAGATATTTGGCACATGGAAGCATCAGACAATACCTATCACTAAGATTATGTTCAAACAGGCCAATTAGCTGAGGCAATTAAGCTTTGAATTCCGGTATTGAGTTTGGTGTTCACACACACGTCAGCTGCCCAATTAGCGATACGAAGTCAGCTGTTGGATTACCCACAGTGATGGAAAAGTTGTTACAATCGTACCTTTATTTAGTTTGAAAGTACATTCGGTACAAACACACAATTTTAGGTACATTTGGAACGTAGCCAAATAGCTGCTCAGGAAATCAGTTCTTATTTTTACTGACATTTCAATGCATTTTCTGGTGCGGACAACTGGTCTAATAGCTTCCCTCCTTTGTGAAGAATCATACAAATGATAAAGAAGGGTGGTCAAAGTAACGCAACTGTAGTTGATTTCGCCAGATAGATGCGAAATATTTCTTTTTAAAACGTCAGATCGAACAACTACATAGGTGGAAAATGATTCACCTTTTCTACAACACAGTTTTGTCTCGTGCTGCTCCAAGAGATTCTTTTCATAGCCAAAAATTTGTTTAATGTGAGTACAGAAGTTGATATGGCATCAATGGGTTACCTCCTATTTTTCTTTATATATAAATACATATTTACTTTTTAGGTACATCTAAATAAATAAATAAATAAAAGAGCACCAGAAACAAACAGCTGATTGCTCTTTGTTCCATAAACATACCTCNTTCATAGCCAAAAATTTGTTTAATGTGAGTACAGAAGTTGATATGGCATCAATGGGTTACCTCCTATTTTTCTTTATATATAAATACATATTTACTTTTTAGGTACATCTAAATAAATAAATAAATAAAAGAGCACCAGAAACAAACAGCTGATTGCTCTTTGTTCCATAAACATACCTCCAAATCAAAATTAAACATACCTAGCAGGGTTGCATAGAGAATCTGACACCAATTGATTGCCTATTAATTATTAATTGGCAATTAATAATTTGAATTTTCGTATGATAAATTGTGTAACAATTAAGGCCTAAATTGGTGAAAAGGTTCTTAATTGCCAATAAGCCGCCTGTTTGAACCAGGGTTGTTGCGAATATTATTCCGAAATAGAAGTCCTTTCCGGATAATAAACAAACCGCCTCTCCAAATCAAACAAATTTGGTACCAAATGAAAGAGGACTTAAATAGCGAGATGATACGAGATACGAGAGATAACGAACAACCACTATTTATATATATATACATATATATATTTTATTTAATACTAATGAAATGCGTATACCTAACACAAGGTTTGTTCTATGGTAATTAATTAACATTTTTTAATTAAATATTTTTCAATATGTTTATTCAGAATGGCCGTAGTTTGGAACACATTAAGTCCATTTTACTTGTCGAAGCCAAATGCAGCTGAGTGGCAAAGGATAGCGGAAGATTTTAAAAATATTTGGAATCTACCAACCTGTGTTGCAGCCATCGATGGCAAACATATTGCAATTACATGTCCAGCACATTCCAGGTCCAACTTCTATAATTATAAAGGTTATAATTATAAAGGTACACACTAAAATGTTGGACGTATATTAAATGACATAAATTTGTTTCCTTTTCTCAGGAACTTACAGTATCGTTTTGCTAGGTGTTTGCGATGCGAATTATACATTTACAGCCGTCGACGTCGGTGCTTATGGTAGTCAAAGCGATGGAGGAATTTTAACAAATTCTGTGTTTGGTCAAATGCTATTTAATCAGCAGCTGGATTTACTGACACAAAGAGCACTGCCGAATATCAGTACCACCTTCCCTTATTATTTTATTGGAGATGCAGCTTTTACTTTAAAATCACATCTGATGAAATCGTTTTAACAAATTCTGTGTTTGGTCAAATGCTATTTAATCAGCAGCTGGATTTACTGACACAAAGAGCACTACCGAATATCAATACCACCTTCCCTTTTTATTTTATTGGAGATGCAGCTTTTCCTTTAATGAGATCGTTTCCTGGTGTGCTGTTGGACATAAAATGGGAATATTTCAAAAAAAAAGGTAGTCGAGAGCCCATATTTTGACTGCAAGATGGAGCATTTTACGTGAAACGCTTAATATGGCACCAGAGACTGTTGAGAAACGTGTTAGTACAACTCTTGTGTTGCACAACTTTTTAAAAATGACCGATAGCCCCTATTGCCCACATGGCTTCGTTGATCATGAAAGCAATGGAGAATTACTCGAAGGACTTTGGCCAAGAGAGGTTAATCCATTCGGAAGTGTTTCACGATTATGTTCAAACAATGTGGCCAGATCTGCATACCAACTACGCGACGCCTTAAAAATAAATAAAATATAAATAAAAATATAATTTTGAATATGAATTCAGTAACATTTCAGTTCCTTCATTCCTTAAAAATAACCATAGTTCAATTTGATGTACTTAAAACTAAAAAAAGTAATAGAAAGTGTAAAAGTAAAAGTATCACACTTCTTAAAAATTAATCACATTTCAATTCAGAAAAAATTAAAAGTTAAATAAATACTCCGGCTGCAGTACACTTAATTCCTCAGACTCCGATATACTGACGGCTTGACTCTGAGGTATGGTGGATGTAGTGCTGTTAAAATAAATAAAAACGTGAACATATTACTGTACAAATTAATTAAAATATCGTACTTTCTTGCCATAACGTGTTCTCTTTAAAAACCCAAAAGGGCAAAGAGCGCCCACTCATTATCAGGGTCAGTAGCTGCACTGCCAGAGGCAAACTTTTGTTTAGTGCACTCCCGCACAAACCGNAATATCGTACTTTCTTGCCATAACGTGTTCTCTTTAAAAACCCAAAAGGGTAAAGAGCGCCCACTCATTATCAGGGTCAGTAGCTGCACTGCCAGAGGCAAACTTTTGTTTAGTGCACTCCCGCACAAACCAATCTCTTAAGGTCCGTCATCTAGACTGGCATTCTGGTTCTGTAAATGAAGTCGTATAAAACAAACAAATATAGAAAATAAATAAAAGTTTTTCTCACCAGGTACTTCTATTTTAGTGCTTATAGCAGCCCATGCCAGCGCTCGCTTCAATTTATTGCGATAATCCGCTTCGTTTTTGCTATATAAATTTTTATACAAACGCACCTCATTTAATAATTTTTCGTCATCCATTATCTGCAAAATTTATGTAAATATGATAACAAATTTGTATAATAAATAGCAAAATATTTATTTATAATACAGACGCACCTCATTTATTAATTTTTCGTCATTCATTATCTGCAAAATTTATGTAAATATGATAACAAATTTGTATAATAAATAGCAAAATATTTATTTATAATACAGACGCACCTCATTTATTAATTTTTCGTCATTCATTATCTGCAAAATTTATGTAAATATGATAACAAATTTGTATAATAAATAGCAAAATATTTATTTATAATACAGACGCACCTCATTTATTAATTTTTCGTCATTCATTATCTGCAAAATTTATGTAAATATGATAACAAATTTGTATAATAAATAGCAAAATATTTACCAAGCCGCAAAATTTCTCTAACACAATGTTGTATTTATGCATCTATACTCAATCCTCGAATGTAAACAACTTGAAGTTGGCTACCTACGCAAGCAAACGCATGAAAGTAGAAAGAATTCACTCTGTGCGCATTCGAATGCGTGTTCGAATTCAGGTCTGTTCTTTGCGTCTAGGCGCATGCCTATGGAGTTCATTCCACAAGAACATGTATATTAGAGTGGTTCAAAGATCTTTTTTTGGAAATTCATAAACGCTACCTCAAATTATTGTTATTTGTGATAAAACAAAGAGAAACGTGTTTTTTTATTTTGAAAAAAAAGTTTTCTTATTTTAATTTTAGTATTTTTTTTTTAATTTGATCGCCATATTGGATTAACCATTTTGAATTTAAAAAAGTTGACTTCAGATTCGTAATCGGCGATCCCAAAAACTCTAGAGTGCCGGGTCTCGAAGAAATCCAATAATTTAAAAAAATGGATCGCCATTTTGGATCCGCCATTTTGAATTTTGAAAAACTGACTTCAGATTGCTAATTAGCAACCCCAAGAACCCCCTGGTAACAAGTTCTAACCCATGACAACGCGTAAATCGTTCAGTATCAACGTTTTAATTTTACTAGTGTCTTTTCGAGAGCATATTTTCTGGAACTAGACCCATTCTAATTGTCCAAGACAGGTGTATAATTAAGGGAAAGTTCCCCAATATTACCAGAGAAATTATATGTAAAAACCACATTTTTAGCTGCATTTTAACATGTCAAGAAAATAAAAAAATTTAGAGCATCAGCGTTTTTATAAAAAACCGACCAGCGCGACCTCTAAAAAAACTTTTTTTCTTTTTTTATCACAAATAACAATATTCTGATGTAGCGTTTATGAATTTCCAAAAAGAGTGTTTTTATGAACCACTCTAATGTATATACAACTCAGTTGTCAAATGCACGCATACGTATACGCACGCATACGCTTGCCTATGGAGTTCCAGCTTAAGGCTACGAATGTCAATACTCAACGTCGTTCCTGTCATCCCAGGGTGCGGACAGCTCAGCGTTCCTAGTCGTGTCTGTGCGCGAATCTTGTAGTGCTGCATTTTCGATCGGTGACTGAATGGGAATCGAACGACTTAGGTTTCCTGGTTCTACGGTTGGGCTGTATGTGGACGAGGTAGGGTTAGCAGGGAGATTAGGAGCTGAGGTAGTAGGTTTGAGATGCCATGGGTTTCTTCTATATACAGCACCATCCTCGGTTTATACTCTGTACGAGCGGTATCCTTCTGGTCTCACTATATGCGTTGGCGCCCAGTTATGATGACTTTGTCTGAGGAGTACTTTCTCTTGTGTTGTGTATTACCTACTACGTTTTTCCCCGTGTCTGCTATTCCTTTTCTCGCTTTCATTGAGTTTTGTTAGTTTTTTACTTGAGATTCTAATTATTTTCGGGGAAAATAGTCTTTCGTTGGTAGGCAAAAGAATTCTGGTCCTTCTGATAAGGAGTCGTTGGGCTGGAGATCCTAAGTCTAAGCGTGGAGTATTGCGATGATGTAGCAAGACTAGGTTTATGTCTGTATTGTCTTCCAGGCACTTTTTCATCAGGTTTTTAGCTTCCCGTACGTAGCGTTCAGAAAGGCCATCTGACCGTGGGAAGTGAGGACTCGAAATTCAAAGTTCCATTCTTGTTGAAAGACTCTGAATTCGCTGCTGTCAAATTGCTTACCTCCATCTGAATAGTACGTCCGGTATTCCGAAGGTTGCAAACCACGTCTTTAATTCCTTAGTGACGTTGAAGCTGGTAATGCTATTAAGTTGATTAAAATCAAAATATTCTCAGTAGCCATCTGAATTGGGGATGCAGTCGTTTCCTCATAGGTGGATTCGTCCGAAGCTACCAAACTCCATGGGCGTTGCGGGGCGACTTGTAAACTTATTTGTTCCCTCAGGTCAAGAATGATAGAATACAAGATTGCGCCAATCAGAGCGGATTTTTGAGCGTAATTTTTGCGTGACGTCATCTTGGTGCAATTGCGAGGGAGAGATGCCAAAACGCATATAAAAATATGTAAACAATGCAGAAAAATGTGTTAATTTTAATAATACATGGCCTAATTTAGCAGGAATCAATAAATATACAAAGATTGATTAATTAGGAACATGTAGCAATAATTTTGGACATGTAGTCCTTTAGATAAGTACGATTTTTAGCACATGAAAAAATGGATGTATTAACAGTGTTTGCAATTTCATGTAGACCAAAAGGAAGGTGTGCAGCAAAGTGATTTTTGGACTTGTCATTTTAAAAAGCCATGCAGAGTGCATATTTATATTTGTGGACGGTAGCCAACCACCATAAACACCACAGCTGTTGACTCCACAGCTTTAATTTGATGACTTTTGTACCATTTCCGAGAGGATGCATGAGTGTGACTTTTTTGGAAACAAATATTCTATGTCAGTAAAACATAATTTAACCTGAACTTTTAAATGTACAATAATTTGGGCACTGTTTTGTATTAGGTACGTAACAGCGCGGAAGATGCCGCTTGAATTAGCGCCTGGCGACCACTGGTGCATTACCTCATACCAGCACTAAAAGAATCAGGTACTAACAAAAATAAGTAGGTAGTGAAGTTCATGTATCTATTTACTGTAGAAACTGCTTTTGTATGTATGTCATTGCCAGCAAACTTCATGGCAATATATCNTGACTTTTGTACCATTTCCGAGAGGATGCATGAGTGTGACTTTTTTGGAAACAAATATTCTATGTCAGTAAAACATAATTTAACCTGAACTTTTAAATGTACAATAATTTGGGCACTGTTTTGTATTAGGTACGTAACAGCGCGGAAGATGCCGCTTGAATTAGCGCCTGGCGACCACTGGTGCATTACCTCATACCAGCACTAAAAGAATCAGGTACTAACAAAAATAAGTAGGTAGTGAAGTTCATGTATCTATTTACTGTAGAAACTGCTTTTGTATGTATGTCATTGCCAGCAAACTTCATGGCAATATATCTGTGATGTACTTAACAAGCGAGAGACGTCTTTCCTTATTGGGTGTCGGCAGCCAAAGAGACCTTTATTATTTTTCATCTGTTGCAGCTACTCTCGAAGCATACATATCGATATACAAGCAGTTATAATATGTAAAAGCAATGCTGCCTACTCAAACAATATTTATTCCCCTTGGCTCTAGTGTTACCAACATTACACCCCCGTACTAATTTATTTACATATTCGTTTTAAACAAATTCAGATACACTGTGCATTAATTCAGATTCGCAAATATTAGTTATCCTAGCTTACATACGTTCGCTACATTTAAATTATATTTA